ATCTTTGATTCAAGATCACATCTGTTTCTTCATGTTTTTCCATGATTTCTATGCTGTATTTTGACGAGCATGCTGTCATGAAAATTTGGTGACGAAGGTGGCTTGATTTAGTGTCCGAACGACCATTTTCCAAATTTGGCATTTTGGCTAGAATTTGGTTTCCAGTGGCCGAAAATTACAACAAAGACTCCACCATGCAGTGCATCTGACTGTCCATCATGTGTTAGGTTCGTCTCGAACGAAGCCTCCGACCTCGTGCTCGCAATGGATCTAGTTTGAGGCTGATTCAACACTCGAGCGTCGTGATGTGGCCGCCCGATTGAGGTGCGCTTCTACAAGAAAATCTACAACCTTGACTTGAATCATAATCTTCTCTCTATTTTTTCTCTCTGCTTAGGCCACGACATGGGTTATGCCACATATCGAAATGCTCGGGTAGATGAGACGAACATGCTCTCAAAATTTGAGCTTGATCTAACCTGGGACGAGAGAAATATGGCCTTCCAAAATTCAGCTCGAAACTCAAAAACACAGTTTTCATTAATGGAAACTGGTTCATTGAGGGTGCACGAAAATAGCGTGAGTCCTACTCGTTTTGGGTAATTTGGCCATTACTTGGTCAAAAAACATCTGATCAAGCTAAACTTGGTCTCTAGGGGTTTTCAAACATTCTAGATCCAATGATAGTGGCTCCACAGTCATTTGATTCCACGGTGATAGGGCTGTACTTATAAGGTTCATTTTCAAGGCGTGAGAGGACGTTTCTCCAAAACTGTTCCTCTGTCTACACTACCTTAAACTTATCGAATCATGACGAAAATTGACAGGTGTTCTTAAGATACCTTTAGGCACGATTTTGAACCTTCTTGGGCCATTCTGAGACTTTTCAAAATTTCACTTCTGGATCAGGGTTTATTAACCTACTACTTCCATAGTCCACAGGAATTTTGGTACCTGCAGACCTAGGTCACAAACTGCTGTCTCCTTATTCTCATCGGGGAAACAAGTATTGAAAAATACCTTCAAAGAGCTTGCCCCATCGAATGTTGTGCTGCGAGAGAAGCGAGAAGGACAACATTCAGAACAAAAACTGTCCTTCGACTTTAGTTTTCTTCCTGACTACTGGAGCACATGAACACCGAAGGGATACTCATGTGAAACTGCTTCTCGTAGGGATGACCAAGGTGCTCAAACATCTGTAGGCCTTTCCTAAGGGCTTGTAGACCCAGACGTGGAGACTTCATGGGGGGAGAAGAGACTTGAGCTACTGGTGGGGGACATCTCATGGAATGCCCATGGTCCATGTCAGGATGATTTTAAAGTCTACACCCTGGTTGGACGTATTGCTGCTGGTGGGGGATATCTCATGGAATGGCCATTATCCACGTTAGGAGTTCTTCTTTGGATAGATAGCCAAGGGGCCTGTGGGGGGCATTGTTTGCTGCTACACCAGGTTTGCTTTGACAAGCAAGGTACCTCTGTGGGTCCTATCCTTTCGAGTCCAGTCGAGGGCTTTTTGTTGGCTTGTCTCAAACATCTGGTCCGATCAAGGAGGAGTTTGGTGAAGCAGCCTTGAAAGGGCTCTACCCTGATTGTTGTGGGCAGGTATTGACCTGATTTGGCAGTTTCTTACTTTTGAGGGGCATCTTTGGCTTGTGGGAATGGCTTTCATATTTTTGATGATTTCTTGGGAATGGGGTCCTTTAGCATGGAACCGCAACTTGCCGTCATGGCAATTATTTTGACTTCTGGGTCCTTTCATGAACGAACTCACCCTGTTGGGTTTTTTTCTTGAAGCTCTTTATTTTTGGGTTCCAATAGCAAGGTATTCTATACTGGGGATTTTTCTTTCTGAAGTGCTGACTGAAGCCTCCTATGGAGGCGAGCACTGCATCAACCTGCTTATTGGTCCAAGTTCCCTTTCGGGTTTTCACTTGGACCAGGGGAAGCAGTGCCGTAAAGACGGTTTTCATAGGCTCTCTTGCCCATGACCTGATGACCATATCTGCCTTTTTTTTCAATTTTTGCTTACGATGCACTTTTGGGTTTTCACCATGCCCATTTTTTATTTTACGGAACACTTTTACTCATGGTTTCCTGACCATTCCCGTCCGTCATATTTACTCATGGCATTCCCCTTTCTGGTTTACACCATGCCAATTTTTTTGTGAGGACGAGTTTAAGGTCAGGCCTCTGGGACCTGGGCTATATTATTATTATTTTATTTATTTTTTTCTTAAGGTCATATAACCTTGACCATTATGCGACGCAGTTTAACGTCATGCGGCCACAACGTGCGCTATAGTTTAGGAACCGTGATGGCAATGGATGATGGTCTGAGGAGGCCATAGAGTGAGTATGGAGGTGACTTGACTCACTTGGGGGAGATGGCACGAGCCGTCTATGTATGATGGGTGGTGTTTTGTGTGCAAGATGAATAATGGGTGGCCCACTAGCTGTCGGTGGGTATGGATGATGGAATGACTCACAATGGTTTCATGAGCATTGGTACGACTCACTGGGGAATGTTGCGAGTTTGTGAAGGGTAATGGAGATGGACTCACTAGGGAGGATGTGAAGGTGGTATGAGCAGGCGGATGGGCCGGCTAGGTGTGGCATGTGTGGAAGGGCATGCGAACGTCGTGTGTGCTGCAGAGAGGGCACACATGTGTGGAGGCATGTTTAAGGTCATGCCACCGGGATGTGGGCTATAGGTTTGAGGTCGTATAGTTTGGACCATTGCGTAAAGCAGTTTAATGTCATACAGTCAAAACGTGTGCTACAGTTTTGGGTCATGTGACTAGACCGTTGTGTAAAGTAGTTTATCGTCATGCAGCTAGGACGTGTGCTACAGTTTAAGGTCGTGCAGCTGGACCGTGGTGCAAAGTAGTTTAACGTCATGCGGTCAGGATGTATCGATACAGTTTAGGGTCATGCAACTGGACCATGGTGCAAAACAGTTTAACATCATGCGGTCAGGACGTGTGCTACAATTTAGGATTATACAACTAAACCGTGGTGCGAAGAAGTTTGATGTCATGCGGTCAGGACGTGTGCTACAGTTTAGGGTCATGCAACTGGACCGTGGTGCGAAACGGTTTAAGGTCATTCAGCTAGGACGTGTGCTACAGTTTAGGGTGTGAGTTGCCATGTATGAGGGTAGTTCAGTGAGGGGTAGACTCTATGGGGAATGAGTCTATGGATGACGGTCGGACTCACTGGGGAATGAAATGGCGTAGACAATTTATGAGCAATGGGTTTAGATGATGAAGGTGGCCCAGTGAGGGATGGTAAGTGGAAGCATATTCACTGGGGATTAGGGAGTGAATGTGATTCCCTGGTAATTAAAAATGGGTCTATTCATGTGATGGGAAGCATGAACATGACTCTAGTTGGGATAAAAAGGTGATGAGGGTCGAATCTTGTCGATGCGCACACGAACCGGCCGGCTAGGGAAGGCCTGCATGGAGGCACATGGAAAAGGTGGGTGCGTAGAGGAAGAAGGGTTGTGCTCGGCAATACAGGGGTTGTACTCGATAGTAGTTTGTAGGAGCCAGGCGTGCACGACAGCAGAATGCGTACAACAGGCTGCGGAGAAACGCGCTCTGTGGTATGCGAACGACAGTTTGTGGGAATGGGAAGCAGTTTATAGTCATGCAAACAGACAATATGTCACGCAGTTTTAACGTCTTGATACAAAGACGTGAGGGCATGTTTAAGGTCATGTCTCCAGGACCGTAAGTCATGGGTAGTACCTTTTCAAGTAACGTCCGTTGATAGGAGGCATTGCCTCTTCTCCATTTGAATGGGCCAATATCTATCCTCCATTTGGAGAAACCCTCTTGATTATGAAAGGGCCTTCCCACTTTGGTTCAAACTTCCCCTTGCAGTGCCCATGCATAACAATCGGTCGTTTTACCGCTAAGACCAAGTCACCACGAGTGAATGAGCGGACTTTGACTGACTTGTCCAAAGGTGCTTTTATCCTCCCCCGATGGAGTTCAAGGTTTTGTTGGGCTTCAAATCTCTTCTCGTCAGGTTTATCTAAATCTTGGTAGCAAAGCTTAACCTGCTCTTCTTTACTCATATCCTGATGTATGGTGATGCATAGCGAAGGAAGTTGGATCTCGAGGGGCAATACCGCTTCACTCCCATAAACTAATCAATATGGAGTAGAGTCGGTGGCACTCCGGGAGGTGGTGCGATAAGCCCACAAGGCCTGGGAAGCTTCTCATGCCAATTTTCCTTATCTTTTACACTGATTTCTTGAGAACACTGCAAAGAGTCTTGTTGAAGCCTTCGGCTAAACCATTTTCTAGAGGGTGGTACAAAATAAAGTACTTCCACTCGAAGCCAAATTGGTCAACTAAGCGGTCGATGTGCAGGCTTCTGAACTGGGGACCATTATCTGATATGATCTAATTAGGCACACCAAATCAGTAAATGATGTGATGTCGTACGAAGTTGGCCACTGATTCACAGGGACATGTCTGAGAAGGATTGCTTCAGCCCATTTGGAGAAGTAATCAGTAGCAGCTAAGATGAAGGTATGGCCCTATGCTGAGGGCGAGTCGATGGGTCCGACAATATCCATGGCCCATTGTGATAAGGGTCATGACATCACTGTAGGATGCAGAGGCTCTGGTGGCTGGTTAAAAAGGTTTGAATGTATCTGACACACTTGGCACCTCTTCGCATAGGTCAACGATTCTGCGACCATCGATGGCTAGTAATACCCCAACCTGCGTATCCATTCGTAGAGGGTAGGACTGAACTGATGAAGACCACAGATCTTGGCATGCACTTTTAGTACTTGCTCGCCCCTTTTGTGTCGATGCATCGAAGGAGGATCCCATCGAAGGATCATCGAAAGAGAGCATCCCCGTCAAGAAGAATGTATTTGGTGGACATTCTTCGTATACTGTTGCGCTCAATGTTATCATCTGATAGCCGGCCGTGTTAATAAAGTTGATTATGGGTTCCCTCCAATCCTCAACCTACTAGATCTCGGTGCATATTGGATCAAAAATCTCCCCTTCTTGTTTCTCGGACTTATCGCCTAAGACCTGCTGCGCCTTTCTTTCTGCTTCAAAAGCATCCTTGGCAGTGAGGAGTGCCCCAAATGGGTAAGGAGGGAATTTTGGGAAAAGAATCCTTTCATCATCCCCATCTAACTCTTTAACCAGCTCGATATGCGTCCACTCTGCTACCCATATAGGCATGGGTTCCTTCGAGGAGTTTTGAATAGTGGCACCGAGCTTGGCAAGGGCATCAGCCTGGGAATTCAACTTTCTAGGGATGTGCCCTAATGAAAATTCATCGAGGTTCACCATCAAGGTCTTAGCAGTGTCATGATAGGGCTTGAGACTATCTTTTCTCACATCGTATATCCCTTTGAGATGTATTATCAGCTCGAAATCATTAAAAATGGCCAACCGTTCCAGTTTCAGGTCTAAGGTGACTTCAAGCCATATTATGAAGGCTTGATACTCATCCTCATTGTGCGAGACGGCCTTTGCGAGACAGAAGGACAAGGGAATTACACCATCTTGAGGAGTCAAATACACTACGCTGGCACCACATTGTTCCAACTGAAAGGCCCCGTCAAAGTACATGTTCCAATCATAAGCTGCCACAACGCAAAACACTTCCTCATCGGGGAGGTCGCTCGACAGGGGAGATTCTATCGGTAAGGGATGTGCTGTCAGGAAATCAGCCAGGGCTTGGCCCTTGACGGCCTTTTGCGGCACATACTTGATGTTGAACTCCATTAGTAATAGTGACCATTTAGCCAAGCGCCCTGACAGACAAGGGCGCGTCATGAGGAACTTGATGGGGTCAGCTCTTGAGATAAGTTGTACCTCATGACCGAGCAGATAATGGCGAAGATTTTGGCTGCAAAGATCAGTTTCTAACACATCTTCTTGATTGGCGGCTAATTCTTTTCAGCCCCTTGCATCCTGCGACTGAGGTAGTACAGAGCGGTTTCTTTCCCTCCCTCATTGTTCGGTGTTAAGAGCACACTAAGCGATTCGTCGTGGGTGATCACGTACAGAATGAGGGGCCTTCCAAACACTGGCGTGGAGAGTACTAGGGGGCATAACAAGTACTCTTTGATATCATCCAAGGCAACTTGACATGCCTCATCCCATATGAAAGGAGAGTCTTTCTTTAACAGGTGTGTAAAAGGCTTATAACGACCTGAGAGATTGGAAATGAATCTTTGAATATAAACAATATGGCTCTGAAGAGACCAGAGTTCTCAGAGTGTCAATGGCGGTGGCATTCCTCGAATTACCTTGATCTTGACCAGCTCTATCTCTAGTCCTCGATACTTGACAATGAACCCCAAGAATTTCCCTGAACATACGCTAAAGACACATTTCAATGATCTTGAGCTGATGAAGGTGGAGCCGCTCGAACACCTGCTCAAGGTTATTCATGTGAACATCATTATTTTTGGATTTCACAACCAAATCATCCACATAACACTCCACCTCCTTGTGCAGCATATCGTTGAAAATGGTGGTCATTGCATGCTGGTACATAGCATTTGCATTCTTAAAACTAAATGGCATCATTGTGTAACAGAAGACCCCTTTGGGAGTCAAGAAGGAGGTGGCCTCTTCATCTTCTGGTGCCATCCTTATTTGATTGTACCCTGAATATCCATCCATGAAGGAGAAGATTTGGCAATGGGCTGTGGAATCGATAAGCATTTTCGTGAACAACAATGGGAAGTCGTTCTTTGGATAAGCAACATTTAAATCATGAAAATCAATGCAGACCCTGATTTTCCCATTCTTCTTTTTAACTGGCACAACGTTAGTGGGCCATTTCGGGTATTTGACCTCCCGAATAAAACATGCTTCCCTGAGTTTTGTTACTTCAGCATCTATCTACATTTCAAGATGAGGCTGGAACCTTCTTAATTTCTGCTTTACGGGTTTGAAGGATGGGTCAATGCTGAGCCGATGTACCATGACTTTGGGATTGAGACCGGGCATCTCATGATAATGTCAGGTGAAGACATGTCAATTTGCTTGTAAGAAGGCCATATAGTGCTCCTTCTCATTTGGAGACATGTTAGCAGAAATAAAGTTGGCCTCGGGTCGTTCTCATCGCCCAAGTTTATTTCCTTGAGATCATCAACTGTAGCGTGCCCACCTTCTTCCCATTCCTCAAGGGCTTCTTGAACTTCCATCTCATCATCAGTCGGTGATCTGAGGGGTCCTTCACTGACCTCGAATGTCTCGACCTCTGAGTTTGTAGGTACCCAAGCTTTTGACAACTGCACCTCAAATTGGGTTTTGATGGTGTCGAGCATGGTTGCTACTTCTACTGCTTGCCTGCTTGAGGAGGGATCGGCTGCAAGGGGAGGGAGTGCATAAGGTTGGGAGAGAAAATTTTGAGGCACCTAGGTCGGCTGGGAAGAGCAGGGCTCAGAGAGCATGGGAGGAGGGTTCTATGATTCAGCGACCATGGATACAGTCACCACATCATTGTTGTCTTTGTGATCACCATTTCTATGTATTCCTGAGCCCACCACGGGCTTTAATGAGATAGTAGATTGTGAGGTAGGCTTAGGTAAAGGTTGTGCCACATAATTTAGTACCGACTGGTTAGGTCATTCAGCCGATCCCATCGTGGACTAGTTAAATTGGGTGATAGGAGTTTGTGTTGGCAGAATAGAGGTTGATGGAGGTTGTGGGTTTGGAGATGGTTGGGTGTATGGCACCAATGGTGGTCCTGGGTATCTAAGGAGTGGTCGATTGGTCGGTGTGTTAGGGTATGGGATGAGTGACGGACTAGGGTACTTCAAGAGTCTTATTTTTTGCATGAGCGGCTGTAGTCTCCTCCTGAACCTTAGACTGATTTGGTCTATATTGGTCACTGCTTCAGAGACTTGAACCATGTGGCATGCTTCGTGCGAATGGAAGCTCTTCTCCCTTGACTCTGTCAGTCTTTGTTCGAAATCAGGCGCAGGAGGCCATTGGGGTTTCATGTCCTTGGGATTCTTGTGCTGCCTGATGAGCTCCTCGGTAGTGGGAGGAGGATTCGTGTTGTCTCTAAATGCCAAGGCGTCAGCGACTATCAGGAACCCAGCTGCTTGGGCCACCATCTTCTTCAGTTGTTTTCGATGCCACTTGCTAATGTTGTAACTTTTCAGCTCTTTATCGAGAGCCTTAAAGTCTGGGTATTCAAAAGTTGTACCTGTAAAGGACTTGTTAGCAGAAGAAGAAGAAGGGTTAGAAGAGTCAGGGATAGAAGGTGGGGGAGAGCTTTTACGGTCGTCTCTTAGATTGGACCGATCCGGGTAGCTTTTATTGTCATCACCAGAATTGGATGTGTGCAGGGAATCTTTTAGGTCCTCACTCTGCTTGGATCGTTGGGGGTTACTTTTAATGTCGGCACCCTTATCAGACGTGGTGGGAACTTGAATGGAGGAAGGTTCAGGAATGTCATTCTTACTGGATTGTACGTCTTGATAAGCAGAAGCGAACGACTTGGGGAAGAAGTCTTGCAGGGTCGGTAATGGAGGAAGGGGCTCGAGGAATTCTTCCTCATCTTGAGATTGAGAAGCTCTTCTCTTTCGAGAAGGAGATCTTGGTGCTCATCTTCTTTTGCCATTTGTAGGAACAGGCCTAGGCTGACTAGGTTCACGTGGCTGCGGAGCCGGCTTTGCTTAGCATACCACTTCCCTTCCTTTGGACTTCATTCTTTTTCGTCCTCGATAAGTGTTAGCAATCTGGCGGTTTGAACTTCATCTCCTAGAAGACTGCTAGTGACATGTCCTCCTTGGACTTTCTCGGTGATTATGTCTTAGAAGGGGAAGCACCACTCTAAGTCATGACCTCGTTGGTTAGATGCTTCGATCTCTCGCTCATGATCTAGATGATCTAGTGGCATACATCTCGGGTTTCGGGGGAACCCGAGACTTTGACATCGCTTTCTCGAGAAACCTCGCTCAATCGGTCAAGTGACCGCTCCTTGTCTTTGAGAGAATGCATGTAGGCATGTACATTCAAAAGAAGAAAAAGGGGTAAGAGGATAGGTAAAAGAAGAAGAAAGAGACAAAATAAAGGAATTGGGAAGCTATGAATTTGACTAGATGGCCTAGATTAACACAGTAGCTTCCGCCGTCCATGACATACAAATTAGAAGAGAGAGGAAACATGGATGGTGATGAGCTTTCGCCGTCCATGATGGGGGAAGAAGATGAACTTTTACAAGGGCCCAGCCCACCACTCGGGTTAAAGCTCGGCCCACTACTTATGCCCCAAATGTAGGAGGACATCACACTCGCCGATAGGCTCCATCATGCATGATCAAAGAAGAAAGAGAGAGAGACAAGGAGAGAGAAGGAAAGTGAAGAAAAAGAAAATAAAGATAGAAGAGAGAGAAGGAAAGTGAATAAATATATATAAATAAGAGGAGAAAAAAAAAGAGAGATAGAGACAGAGAGAGAAAGAGATAGATGAGAAAAAGAGAGAGATGAGAGGAGGAGAGAGAAAGAGAGAGATGAGAGGAGGAGAGAGAAAGAGAGAGATAAGAAGAGGAGAGAAAGAGAGAGATGAGAGGAGGAGAGAGAAAGAGAGTGATGAGAGGAGAGAGAGAGATGAGAGGAGAGATAAAATTACCTTCACTAAATGATACCAAACCTTTTATTCTCTCTCCTATTTCTCTCTCCTCTCTCTCTCTCCAAGACGTACCCACAATTTGAACGTGAAAACTCTCAAATTTTATTGATGAGTATTGAAAAATCAAGGTCCTTATAACAATTATGTTTAACATGTACTTATTGAATTGGGCCCAAACATGGGTGCACACCCTAAAACTACCTAAATTGATGATAATTGCAATTTAATTGAATTAAAAAAAATTCTAAAATAAGGTGAAAAAGGACTATTTTACTCGTACCCAACAATACATGAAATTGTAAACTAGTCCCTACTGCTGCCCTAGAACTTGCGTGATCTTCCTTAGATGATTCAGGATTGCTCTGACGCTTGTTTGGCAGAAAGATAATTTCTTTCTCATCCTGCTCGGCGTGACGATCGATTTGATACCAACTTTAAGTCATAGATTGCGTTTTTAGACCACTATCATGCGACTCAAAATTTGTATAGATCTTGAAAACTTCCAATCGATAGTGTGCTTATTTCTTGATGTTTTTCTTTGATTTCTTTACTTAATTTTATTGAGCATGCCATCATGATCACGTTGCAACAAATGCAGCTCGAGTTCGTGTCCGAATGAAGATTTCGTCGTCTTGGGTTTTTAGCTAGAAAATAGAATTTTGGTGGCTGGAATCTGTAGCAACTTTGACGCCTTCGTGGGTCGAATCCAACCATTCATCATACGTAGGGTTCGAGCCAAAGATAACTCTAGACTTTATGTACGTAATGCAATTGGTTTTGTGTTGATCGGATATGTGAGCGCCGTGATATGGTCGTCCGAGCGAGGCATGCTGCTGTTGAATTTTATGCAACTATCTTCATGAGTCATCAACTTCTCTCTAGTTTTTCTCCCTACACGGGTATCGTCACGGGTTATGTCATATATCAAAATGCTCGTCTTGATAAGTTGAACACGCTCACCTAATTTGAGAGCAATTCGACTTAGAATGAGTGAGATACGAGTCTTTGAAGTTGCTGCTCGGGACTGTGCACAGCAGCCTCCTTTAATTGAGAGTGGTGTAGTGAGGCCTGACGGGAATAGCGTGCGACCTAACCCTTTTAATGTTTAACCCACAACTTTGTTCTGGAAT